GAGAAAGAAACAGGAGTAACTATTTACTTTTCAAGCAATTTGATCTTAAGCACAAGATCAAAAACTGATACATGTAGAAACTGGCTCTCACTGATGCATAGAGTTGTATTTGTTCCCTTACATAAAATATTAAACTTATGAAAAGGCATTTTTATTTAGTATGAAACATAATACTTCCTCTCATCAAATTACTAGCATTTAACTCTGAGTAAACAGAAGCGTTTGCATTTAACCTCACTTGCTTGGAAAAGAGCGCTGAAAATAGTGCAGGGAGGATCCTGCCTGCAGCTGCTCACATTTGTTTGGATTTCAGTGAACAGTAATGTATTATCTGATAATCACTGTACGCAGAAGCACACAGAACCCCCCAATTCCATTTAATGGGTAGGTGTGTTTGTAGTGGAGATCCGATTTTCCATGATTATTATTTTATAGGGAACGCTGCTGAAATGTTTGGCAAGTCAGAGAAACTGTGTTTATGCTTTGAGTGACCCCAGCTGTAAATGTACATGAAAAAGCTGTAACTAGTCGCCAGCAAAGTGATGAGATGAGGGTGGCAAGGTCGTGACCACCTAGCCACCCATGCTGAAACGCAGCACGAGAGGAGGGGGACTAAAGGAATAAACACTTAGAGGAAGAACTCTGAGAATTAGTTTATTCTTAGTTATTATTAGTAGTAGTTAATTGGTTGATCAGGCATCCTCTGCTTGCAGACTGCGGGTTGAACGTGCACAAGCAGTGCTCCAAGTAYGTGCCCAACGACTGCCAGCCGGACCTCAAGAGGATCAAGCGGGTGTACTGCTGTGACCTGACCACGCTGGTGAAGGCCCACAACACGCAGCGGCCCATGGTCGTGGACTCCTGCATCCGGGAGATCGAGGCGAGAGGTTGGTGAGGGTTTGGAGCTGTCAAAAGCAGCAGGCGCGAGGAAATATAAACAAGTTGAATGATATGGCAAGGTGGCACAAAATTGCGTGTTTGCRCTCGCTGAGGAGAGGAGGAGAGAAGGGCTCTTCTAGTGGAGGTGATAAATTGCTTTGTATCGGCTAGTGAAATTAAAGTGTGGCATTTCATAATGCAGTTTACTGGAATGCTTCTTGAAAAACATGTCAAAACATGTATTATGTTACACTTTTGAAAGGGATGAACTTTAAAGTGAACTTTAAGTTCGTGGTTTTGTGTCCTTTTTCATTACTTTTGTTTTCTTTTAGCATACCTAGGGACACTCCTAATTTGGGGGTAATCAGTTTAAATCAAGCCTGTTATTAATAACCTGTCAGGGCACTTGGGAAGGGAGAGCACAAATGAATGGAAGTCACTGAGCCAAATGAGGGCAYGGGCTGCAGCATTTTGGGCTGTGCTGCAAACTGCTCCAGGCAGCATCATGCACAGGACACCCAGTCTTGGCTGATGGGTCACAGCCCAAAGCCCAGGTGATGACAGGTTTTGTAACACAGAGAGGCTTGCAGGCCTGAAGAAATGTCATATCCTCTGCAAAAAAACTATCAGATCACGCATTTTTGTTTTTGATAGCAAATGTATGTGTCRTGGTACCCAATAAGCCAAATTTCCTCAGTTAGTCATAGCTTTAGCACAGAAATCTCATAATGTTGAATTCATGGCATCGCAGTAATCTGCATGGCAACACACTGATACCAGCCATAGGGATTTCACAGACGCACATCATCCCCCGAAATGGATCAAAGATTTACTGTTAAATCCCCTGCACTGCTCTGTAAATCTCTGCCAGGATTATATCAGCATCGCAGGGACACAGGGAAAGAGTAGTTGAAACTAAAGGAGAAGAGCGTTACTGAGTAAAAATGAAACAGCAGGAAGCTATGCTGCATTTAAGAGAGAAATACCTGCTTGTGCATTTATTAAGAGAAATCTGCCCACTGTCACTTCAACATCTCTCCGTTTCCTTAATTGCTGTGGGGCTATTCATTTCTTTCAAAATGCTGATTTTGTTCTTAGGCAAGCAAAGTGCATTGGATGTAAGTTAGCCTGGGGCATGGTCTACGTGAGGAGCTCTGGATTAAAACAAGTGCCATCTGCCTGACTGTGTTCGGGAATGGCCAGTGCCCCAGTTGGGATRGCTTGGGAAAGGGAGAGCAGCTCTGCAGCAGAGCAGGAGCAGGGCAAGGGCTGCCTCCATCACGTGCGTCGCTTGTGTCCAGCTMAAGGGTGACAGCAAAGCTGGGAGCAAGGGTGATCGTGGGGGAAGGCTTTCTCTGACTTGCATTGCTGTTCATCGTTAAGCAACCTGCAAGATCTTTAAAGCTCTCCTAATTGTAGATAAGTGCAGGAACATCTCCCAGATGAAATAAGTACTTCATGATAATACTGCTTGCCTTAGCATTAGCAAATTGCATTTTCCATTAATATTGCCAGTTATGTTCTGAACAATATCAGAAAATACAAGTTTTAAAATTCTTTAATCCTTCAGAAAACAAATTTAAATTAACTTGATTCTTCCTCAAACGCTCAGAAGTTTAACATAGACATGAATATTTTTGCTATACTTATTAGACCTACATTTACTTTAGCTTTGTTTGTTTTGAGACTAAATGTTTTTTGGTTTTTAAAGATTACCAAGAACTTTATATTGCAGGTTTGAAGTCTGAGGGCCTCTACAGAGTTTCCGGCTTCACTGAGCACATCGAAGATGTGAAAATGGCCTTTGATCGAGGTATAAATTTAAAAATTTTTACAATTTTTTATTGAAGCTTTCAGTTCGAGGATTTTCAGTTATTTTTGCATTTGCATTGGGTACCATGATAATGAAATTGGTATATATGCAGAAATACAGAAAGCAGCCTGTCTTTTCTGATTTCCTAAATAAAACTACAGTACATAAGAATAAAATGCTTTTTTGTATTTAGAAAGAATAATTAAATACTCAATACTCAATAACTAAAGGCAGGCAGAAAAGCTGCAGGTTAATTGCTTAACCCAGCAACACTTTCCAGGTCCCTAGTTGAAGTGTGAGCCTAGATAGGACCGGGGGAAAAGGTCTTAGTCCTGTTTTAGCATACTCAGTGTTTTATAATATGATGAGCTGTTTATGATTTTAAGAACTAGGAACTGCAGCCTGGGACTCGGTCTGCTTGGGGCCTCAATCTGTGCACCCTTTCCGTCTCTGCACAGGAACCCAGAGGTGTCCACTTAGGTGGATTAGCTGTGCAGCATATGGAAAACCTGTGATGATTTAAACATCGCCTGTTAGTCATCCTTGCTGTCGTGGGAGCCCTTCTGGCTTGTTTTGGCCCATTACCTTAGCTCTGCTCATACAAGCATTCCTTGCATACAGGATTAATTTTAGGTATATACACAAGCACTGCAGAGCTGCGGGAACTGGTGACACACTTTCAGGTGCAACATTTCAGAAGACATGTCAATGTTTGTCTATTTTCCCATAAAGAATGTCTGCTGTCCTGCTTATTTTTTTATCAAAAATAACCTGTCATGTTAGGAAAAACACTATATCATTACATATACATGAGTCAGGCTATATATGTGGTGGGGCTGCAGTGCCATGGGGCAGGGACTGGTGGCCCCAGGCTGGGCTACAGCGGTCTCTGGGACCCTCAGGGCCCTGACAMATTCTTGTTACCATGCTGGATAACTGTTTTGGAGACAGATTGCCATGCAGATCCCCTTGGCAAAGAAAAACCAGCCGCATAGGTGGGAATTCCTTAAGTGATTTCATCGAATAATGAAACAACCTTTGAAAAAGGTGGCATATTTTATAATAGCRCTGGGTGCTGCAGTTGTGGACGTATGGGGTAGGATGTGGCTGTTGTGCTGGGCTGACGCTCGCTGTGTGGCAGCACCACGGAGAGGGTGACACAGCCCCCACGTGTCCCGTGCTGCTCCCTCCAGGCAGACCTGAGCTGACAACATCCATGGTCTCCCCTGCCRAGCATCCTAACCTGAGAGTTAGATCTCAGGACAAGAATAGTAGCCCACAGTGCATTATTTTGGTCCAATAAAGCTGTGGGACTTACTTTTAAAACTGGGAGAAGTTGGCCTTCCTCGTGCCTAAACTAAGGCTCCCGTCCCAAGCCGGCAGCGGGTAAACGGCCCTGSTGTAAACAGGAGCTGGGCCCTCTCACACACTGACAATGTTCCATTTTAGTGCCTTTTATAACACGAACGAGGGGAATAATGTGGGTTTATCTCATGCTGTGAATGCGGGTGCTGTCGGACAACAGTGGCAGCCTGTGAGCATTGTTGGGCCGCAGGCCCCCGCTCTGCGCGGCCTGGCCACAGCGGGGCCCTGGTGGCGGGGCCGCCCGCCTGGTACTGCACCCTGCCTAAAACACTGCGCGTTAAACAGCGCCCAGGAGCGCCGAGGCACATCCTAACACCTGCTCGCGTTCTTCTGCCTGAAAACTTAGTCYCCACACCATGGAAAACTCCAAGGAAGGTGAAAGACTTCAAGGTTAGCTTGAAGAAGGGTGTGCGATGAGAATAGAGCATTAGGGAACAAGTCAATGAAGTAGAAGTGTAATCCAGTATGCAGAGGGTAGGACTTAGGCTTTAAGAACGCAATATTGATTCCATTTCCTTCTCTATTAAACTTTTTGGCTATTTATGTGGCTTCCAAAGTGAGCTGAAACCTTTACCGAACAGAAATTAGAACTTTGATATCCATACTTCAGTATAACACCACAAAATATATTGAAAGACTAATCTAACAAGAAAAGAATGGCAAGTTTGGGGAAGAATTGAGTTTGTAAAGCTTCAATGAACTAAATATTTGTAACCTAGTATAAGAAAGGCTGCATCAACACATAGCCATTGCAGTAATATTGAAAGTGCCTAGTACCATCTGTGGAAAGTTATTGTACTGAACAGTTAAAAAGACAGGTGTTGAAATACCATATAAAATATAAGTAGTTCATACAGCCTGTCAGTGCAGATGTAAAATATGGCACCCCTTTCCCTGCAATGAATTATTCTTTCCTTCTTAGTACTCTGAATTTGACGTGTTTGAACACAATACAAATCCATGAATTTGGGGAAGACAATGAAAGGAAAAGAGAAGACAATCCAAAATATACCAAAGGGAAGAAAACATTTTCCCTTAGATACCCACTGCAGAAGCATAGAAATACTGGAGCAGGCCTAACATTATGCTCACTGTAAAGAAATTGTCAGTGTGTTTGCAGTGGATCTATATTTGTCTCTGAGTGAAGAGAAAAATCTTTGACTCAGATGTTGCTGCCTTTTTCCTGCAGTAAGCAAATAGATAAATAAGAGAAATGTTTGAAGTGCATTTCCCATAGGCGAAGTACCCCTTTAAGGGAGCATGCTGTGCTGCTTTGTAAAAGTGCTAAATAAATAACACTTCCATTTAGTGTACTGGTGACCTGGATAATAGATGCAACCTTCTCCTTTACTCTATCTGTTCTGCTGCAGCTGCTGCCTCCTTGAAGGTATCTGTTTTCAGAGGAGCATTTTGAGTGCTCAGTGTCCATCAATTAAATGGAGCTCTCTGCACAGCGCTTTATAGCACTAATGCAGCCGAGCCTGGAACGTGTGGATTAAACAAAAGGTTGGGACAGGGTAAACATTCTCCTAGGGGTTATTGATGCTGTTTTAAATTAAATGCTGATGGATGTATTCAGACTGCTCAGCTGCATCAAGAAAGGCTGCTTGTTTTAAACACTTAAGCGCATAATCTCCTCTTGATGAGAACATGTAGCGCTATTAGTCTTAATGAGAATTATGTGCGCACATTGGGCAGGACACATCCCTTCAAGATTAATGCCCCAGGTTTGTATAAAATGTCTGCAATCAATATCCACTGTTTTAAGGCTGCTGTGGAAGCGCTCATCACCGTTGCAGGAGCAGYGCATCAAGCACACCAATGCACATATCTTCATCAGGGCATGTCTACAAGCGCTGGCTGGCGTGAGACAGGCAACGGGGGCATTTACAGCGTGTCAGCATCTCGGTGGCAGCAGCCCAGCTCGTGCCTGGAGCTCCTGGCACGTGCAAGCAATCGCTTCCATCACACCAGCAAGCCCGACCTTGGGTGGCCCGGTTATCATAGCATCCTCAGGTTTTTATGTCTTCATCCTTGCTGCCTCCTGCGAGGTTGTTGTGTTACCTTCACTGTGCAAGCGAGGAATGGGAGCTGAGGAGCAGAACTGGCCTCAGAGCAGTTTGAGGAAAAGCTGGGAATTGCACCCAGGTGGCATCGGTCCCTGCTCGAGCAGGACCCTGCCCTGAATTCCTAATGGCAGGTGGTAAAGGGACAGGCCCAGGGAGGGGACAGCAGAGTTTCTCAAACTCCAGAAGGAAAAATGTGGGCATCAAGGTGTAAGATAGAATGGAAACACAATGTCATTCAAATGTGAAAAATCATTTTATTACAGGTCGTTCTTGTAATTTCACATCTTGCAATCCTGGGGCCTATTAACATCAATTATAAATTTCAAACTGGGGATTAAAAATGCTCTGTAAAGGAGTTTTGACTTACTGCATTACAATACCTGGCTAATAAAATATATGTCATTTTCATTGCATAATTCATTTATTTAGCCATTCATCAATTATAGCTGTCCATGTTCATGTAAATGAAGTTGTGGCCCACATTTCAGAATACTTTCTGAACCTAGATGCTAGAGCACTTCTATTTAAATTCAAATCTTTACTGTAAACAAATTGAAAAAAATAGGAAGACATGAGAGGAGAATCAAAATAATAAGGCAGATATATAAGATCAGCAAGAATAGACCGGTGCAGGACTTACGCTGGTCCAGGACTGGTCCAGGACTTATACAGGACTGGTGCAGACTGGTGTCTACTCTGAATTTTGCTTCTCGTCTCCTGAGGGATGTTGGAAAGTGATGTCATTTTTCTGTGCTTCTGCTTCCCAAACTGAAATAAAAACAGTGATTCATACTCCCTTTGCATCATGAGATCTGCAGATAAAAGATACAACATCAAAGCAAGCTATTAATGGCTTATTTTCAACATGGAATGAATGGGCCGAATTCAACACATACATTATTCAGCATGGCTTTTGCACTCAACACTAACTCATCATATGTGAGATGGCACCCTGTAGATATAGTTGATAGTTGATGTAGTCACCAGCTTATCCGAAAACGTGAACAAATAAATTATTTACTAAATGCTAAGGAAACTATCATTTCTCATTCATATACTTGCGATTTTTCAGCAATACATTCTCCCTTAAGCTTTATAAATGCTTTCAGTTTGTTTTTGCCTTGTCRGACTGGACGGTAAATCTGAATTAGAAGCCTAGCCTTGTGTCAGTCAGAATTAGACTGTTTTCAAAAAGATTCCTTTCTCCTCTTCCAGATGGTGACAAGGCTGACATTTCTGCCAATATGTATCCAGACATAAACATTATTGCTGGAGCACTGAAGCTTTACTTCAGAGACTTACCAATTCCTGTGATCACCTACGACACCTATTCCAAGTTCATAGATGCAGCAAGTAAGTATTGCCTAGCAATTTGTACGGCTCTTTAATTATATTTACTATTCATAAGATGCTTACATTGAAGAAAAAGCCAGTAAACTGAAAACAAGGACACTGCTGTTCATTACTTCCCTGCCGTGTGCTTGGCTCACGTGAAACTTTCCTGACTGTTGACACAGCAGGGACCAGCTACAAGTGAAAAATATGTGAATAAATCCATAGGGCAAAAATAATTCATTAGTTTCAGCAGGTGTGGTTTGCCTACAGTCAGTGAAGCTGCCCCTTGCCTTGGGCTGGGGCTCTAAGTGGAAGTGTTCACTGGAATCAGCACGACAGGGCACCCCACAAGCACCCACTGCACARTTTGGGTGCCTTCCCCATTAGGACCCTACGGCTCATAACCCATATCAGGTAGGATAGGATATCAGGCAGCACTGAGCTCTGCAGAGCCAGCAGCAAGGGGTGCACACTCTCAGGGAGGGAGAGGGCAGCAGCGTTGATCGCTCTGCTCCTCAGACAAGGTTGGCAGAGAGCAAGAGATGAGATTTGCCTCCGGTCCTGCTCCCCGGGGCGCTGCTTTCCGTGTGATGATAGTCGCTCATGAAAACTCGGCAGATGCAATTGCATCAAAATTAGATTATYGACGAAGATTTAAGAGATCTGAGATCTCTAAGAAGTCGCATGTTTTCATCTATACAAGTGTCATGAGAGCTTTTGAAATGACACGTGGACAGGCAACAGGATCRGCACCGTATGTACCTCTGCTGACTCCCCTTCTGACTTACCCACCACCACAGATGCACCTCTCCTGCCCACCAGTGCTCCTTTCGCAGCAGACAAACTCTTCTTGCTTGTCACTAGTCTTATCAATAACATGGTAAGAAGAAGCAATTCCTCTCATGTCAATCAACCAAGCTGTTAAAATCAGAACATCAAGCTTTTTATTCTTCTMATTCAGACACTTGGTGCCTTTTTTATTAGAAGTCATGCAACAGATGTAACTCTTAGCTCAGTTCACAGCCTGGGAATCTATATTTTTCGTGTAAAATGCATTTAAACCTCGCTCAAATTTTCAGAAAGATTGCCAAACAGTCTTAAAGGAGCACCAGTGGTCTCAGATCACTGATATATACCTGYATATTCAAGTATATTCAGACATCTTTCTTTGCTTACATAATGTTGCAGTGTCTTTAGCAAAACTTTAATTTAGCTCAGTGTATTCAGGCAGTCTCCAAAGCACATGTCCACACCGCATCTCTTCTTGAAGGCTACGGTAGGTAATCTCATCTGAGTTTTTAAAGAGTCAATTCCAGACAGGGCATTATGAAGCAGTTATGAAACTTAGCTATGGTAGATACACCAACCTTTATCTAGATATCCCGACCATAGTGGTAGAGTGTTGGGTGGTCTTTGTTGCTTATTTTTAAGTCTATTTTTGAGGCTGCAAAGGTTGCTGATAAGCTCCTTATTTATAATTTTAATATTAAGCCCTACAAGTACAGTCAGTGGCTTGTAAATGATCCCATAATAATAACTCAGCTTCCTGAATTACTGCCTGTTTACAAATGTGAAGTTGTATTAACATTGTTTGTTGTCTTTCAGAAATCTCCAATCCTGATGAACGACTAGAAGCAATCCATGAAGTGTTGATGTTACTCCCTGCTGCTCACTATGAGACACTTAGATACCTAATGATTCATCTCAAAAAGTGAGTTAATTGGCAAGCACGAGAAGTTTGGAGAGCTTATGAATTTTCTACTTTGAAAGAGAGATATTGCAGAAAGTGCAAATAATACTCCATTGAGGCACTGCCACTAAAACAATTAGGTTGCAAATGAACTGACAACCTGTAAATGCAAATAAGCTGTGTGCATATATAGCRTAGTTCCTTCTGTCAGCAAATCACTGTGAGCGATGAAGAGTTAATTCAGATTTGTCACATCTCTCTGAGGTAGATAATATCTGAAAAATACCAGAATGGTAGTTACTTTAGGGATGTCTTAGAAGTGCCGTGGCAAGTCATTTGATCGTGCTTTGTTTCTTGGCTCTCCTTATCTCCAGATTTGTCCTCCTGAACCATAACCCTAAAAGGAAAGAGCTGCCTGTTATTAGTTGTTTGCTAACATCACAGTTAAGCCAAGAATCAAGAAGGGTCTATTTTTATACTACTAGTAAAAAGCTATACAAGCACTTAACAGTTATTTCATATTTCTTTCAACTTCAAACACACTTTGCCTTACTCATGTTCCAAAACTTCTTTAGTCATAAGGGATATGAAATTTGCAAAAGTGTTTAAATTCCATTTTGAAAGTGACTTGGGAATTCAGTGCTGTATTTTTTAAATTTTTAGCTATGAATTTTTAGCTAAGCAAATTATGAAGTGCACCAAAGAGAGATAAGATGCCTCACCCACTCATTTCAAGAGAGATTTTTTTTTTTTTCAAAAGCACACTAAGGCCACTTTGCTATTTTGAGCATCTAGATACTTCCTAAAGTCCTGCTTGTAAGTTTTTGAATACAGAAGCTGAGTAAAGACTGATAAAGACTGACATTATCATTTTAAAGGTGCCCTTCCCTTAAGGATGTATTGCCTGATGTGTGCCTTTTCTGTCATTAATGTTTATGAGATACTTGGAAACAACAAAAAAGAGGGTAAGGGAGAAACAAAACTGTCCACCTTTGTCACGGCAAATCTTTGATGATCCTTTTTGTCTGTACCATTACTTGTAATTGTAATTACTTGTAATTACTTGGCTACTAGTGGGGTGTTTTCTGTTTTTGAGACAAATCTGCCTTATTAGCACTGACCCAGAAAAAAAAAAGACATCAACTCACATAAAACTGCRTTAGAGACCTTCTGTGAAATGCATTTCATGCTTAATCAGGTTCTCATTATGCAGAGACTTCTCATTTTGAATTGGCTCCGGTYATTATGCTGAGTAATTTTTTCTTTTGATGAGACCTGGGCATGCAGGAGCTGCTTTGGACTCTGCAGCAATGAGGTGTGTAAGCACCCCCTGCTCAGCACATAGGCCTGGACAGTTCAGGATGAGCCACATGGGCCCGTGCAGACTGTGGACAAGCCGGGGAGCCACGTACAGGATCAGTACCTGCATGTGCTGAGAACAAATTTCTAAAGCTGAAGAGTTGACTTGCTTTTCTTTTTCTTGGACTGCAAAACAGGCATTTCAGCTGTTGAGCTGAACTGCTGTTGAGACAAAAAGATCCAAAGAGCTGATTAATCTTTCCCTCTCAGATGCCTGGAAGTCAAGTAATGGACTTCCTTTGATTTTCCAAGTTACAGTTTTCAGCATCAAGTGGCTGTCAAATCCTGCACCTACTCCTCCTGAGAGATCTGAATGAGACAGGGAAAGCTCCTTTAAGTTGAGGACATGCTCTTAAGTAGTTTAAACACAAAGCCCCAGCTCCAACCCCATAGATCCTGCACAAACAAAACACGCACTGATGTCAAAGAGCCTGTTTGGGTAGAGACTGCAGGATCACAGCGTCTGCACTGGCTCTGTTTCGGTAGGGAAGAGACTGCACCAAGTTCTTGTCGTATGCACTTCATATTTCTTATCAGGAAGAAGGACACTAAATCCAKATCAGTCAAAGAACAATGAGCTGTTTATTGCTTTTGAAACATAAGTATTTCCTTTCCTGGGTCTGTTTATTGTCCTTCTTCCTCCTCTATTGAAAGAATAGCCCAGCCTAGTCCAGAAAAATTGGCAGAAGATGGTATCAGCAATAAAATATGTGCCAGCCAGTCAATTAATTGTTTGCAGTTTAACTTGCAGAGCAATCATCTTCAGTCCAATAGGAATGTTCTTTCCGAGAACTTTTTACTGGAAATTGGAGCAAATATAATAGAAAAAGAAGCCTCCTGTGCAATGAAGTACATGCTCAGGAGGCACATGTCACTGCATGGCTGCATCTCTGCTGCACACAGACACAGAGGGAAAGCAGAGGAGTTACTCACATGTGCAGTAGTGGCAGGGGCTCRGCAGAGCCTGGATTTGCCTTCTGCCCCTGCATGCATGCGCTGGGAAATGCTGAGGTGGGGCACTAGCAGGTTTCTGCCCTGAAAGCCAGCAAGAGCTGTGTTTCCCTGTGCTTCTCCTAGCCACTGTTTGAGGAGAGCTACTAGTAGAGGCAAAACCTAATTTTACTTGGACCTTGCAAACAAGGGAAGACGAGGTTACCTCCTTTGCTTTCAGTCTGTTTGCGTTCCCCTGGTGGCATGAGGAAATCCACTGTCTGCTGCTATCAAATGAGAATGGCTCTGGCCAGAGGCAATCACAGCTATTGCCATGAGAGCTGCCTCCAATACCAGCCTGGCAGAGGAGCTGTGCTGGGAGGACAGGTCCAAATTGGCCTGTGCTCTTCTTAGTAACAGGGGACCGTGACCTACAAAGTGTCTGGGGCTGTGTCTCTGTCTGCAGTGCAAAAACGCTCCTAAGACTGAACACAAATGCCAAAGGACTGCTGGAACAACATCACTGTGAGCCAGCTGTACTGCTGGCATGAAACCCTGCTGCACACCTTGCCTTTTACAGTAGACTTAAGGGTTTACTTCTGTGCAGCTTCGTCAGTCTCTGCTGCAGCCTTATAGCCCATCTGTCCTTGTCAGGGGGAAAAAAACATCTTGGGCTCCTTCCCAGAGGTAGCTGTGCTCCCTGTCAAGGATAGACAGCATTTGTAGCCGTCTGACTTCTAGCTGGATACAGGCTGCCTACAGAGAGATCAACACAGGCCCTAAACTGAGTTTCCTGATTGCTCCAGGTTTCAGCCTGCTCCTAAAGTACAGGAGTAGCAGAGTAACTCAGCTGTTGGTGTAGTGGTGTAGCCCAAGGTTGCCAGCAAATCCAGAATCCATATACAGGTTCCTGAAGGCCAGCAGTTAAAAGGAATGATGAGCCCATACTGAGGAAGCCCTTGTCTACCCCCAGTGTGATGCACATGGAGTCCCAACATGCCACAGAACTAGTTACTGCAGGTATGGGAATGCTCTGTACATCGTAATTTAAACTGTGATTATGCTCCTCAAAAAAAAAAAAAAAAAAAAACACCTCCAATTCTCATACCTTGGATGTTAAGCACATGGTCAAATCACCTAAGAGTCGCAGGAGGCGGTGTAAAGGTTCTAGGAAGGAAGTAGTTGAGTGTAAGTAAAAAATGTTACTGAAAAATGCCATTATCTAGCAATACTTGATATGAAGCGGGACTACAGAATAAAGATACAATATGTTCTTTTGGCAAGTAAACAGCTACTTACTTTTCTTTCTTTTTTCTTTTCTTTTTTTTCTATTTTAGGGTTACTTTGCATGAAAAGGAGAACTTTATGAATGCTGAAAACCTGGGAATAGTGTTTGGGCCAACTTTAATGAGACCTCCAGAGGACAGTACCCTTGCTACTCTGAACGACATGCGGTACCAGAAGTTAATCGTGCAAATATTAATAGAAAATGAAGATGTTCTCTTTTAGCCCAATAGAGGCATGTCTTCATAGCCATTTATTTTGGAACAGTTAGTTTGAAGGAAAAAATACATTTCTTTACAATTTTTAAAAAATAAAGGAAAAGTTCCTTGGCTGCACTTCAATTTCTGCAAAGTTGCAGATAAATGCCAAAATGCTTAGGGAAGGCCTATGTCTCATAGACATATGCCTCTTTGTAGAAGGGAAAAAAAAAGGTCAGAAAAAATCCTCTTACCTTGTATCTTTTGCCTTGCCTCAGATGTATATTTGTTTTGAGAAGTTACAAACAATTTTATTGTTAACTTATTAAGAAACACAAAACATATTTTAATATGGCTAGAGAAGCAAAAAGGTACTTAATCAGTGTTACTTGTATACAGCTATACATTTTCCCTTGCCATAAGACATAATTATATATGTCAATTGTGAAACAGAACCTATATTATAAAGATATTTTTACTTTACCTAGCTGAAAGAATGGCATTTTATTTTAGCAAACTATAAACCAATGCGGTGCATTGATTATTTTCCACATAATTCCCTCCTGCATTTTTGCTATGATACATTGAAAACAGTTACCACTAATGCAGTATTAGCCTGACATACCTCTTTCATTGCAGATGTTGTAAAGGAGAATTCTTTCCCTATGTGTATTCCAACTTTCTTTAGGTTTCTTTCTTTATATTTTAGGCACTGGTGTTCTAAGATTGTATAGTAYACTTTTAGGCATTTGCTCTTTCTGAAAATGTATAGTGTTTTGTCTRTTTTTTTTCCTGTTTTTTTTTCTCCCACGTCAAATATGGTATTGAGAATTTTCAAAAGTTCTGGTGTCTTGGGACATTGTCTTTGAGACACCGAGAGTCCTTGGTGTCTTCAAAAGTCCATGGTCCTTGAGAATTTGTAAAAGTCCATCGGTTTCACATGCCAGATTTTTCTTGGATTGCAGTAATATGTAAGTTAGGTGATGCTGGGACACTGGATATTTTCTGGCCTTGTTGAAAAGTTAGCACTTTTTTGGGTTAATTATGAAGGATTCTTTTTTCTGTAAAAATCAAGCTATGTTTTGTCATGTTTCTGTATTTATAAACGTACAGTAAAACTGCTGAAAATGTAGGTATTTCTCTTGAATGTGTTTCCTGATGGTTTGTTTTTTAAAAAACAAGAATGTGTAAGAAATGTGGGAGTTGGTAAATTTAATTATTACCAAATTTTAATATGTTTCTCCCCTCACAAACATTGACCTACAGAGTTCATAGTCTAACTGCAACTTATTCCTAATGTTAAAACTGTTTCTCAGCATGAGATGTTTCTGCAAGCATAGCAAATCAGCATACTTTACTACCAAACTCAATTTCCAGTACAGAAAAATATAGAATAATCCCTCATCTTGATCATTTGAATCACATGCTTGGTAACTCAGTGATGCAGTTTCCTGAATTATTTCAGGGAGCGCTTGTTTCTATTCAAATTGAAAAATATGTGTAACTATGATAATGAAGGGAGGTGAAGGGTATTACTGTAAATTTGTTGTCTTCTAGAGATATAACTAAGGGCTAGATAGATTAACCCTGACTGCAGAGCAAATGCTAAATAGTCTGAGTACCCAATACTTCTATAGATCCTCCTGAATTGTACAGGACTATTTGTCGTAGGTTATGTACTACTTAATACTGTCATAAAAAAAATGATCTGGAAATGGTTTTATTTTGTGAAGTGAAATATGCTTTGTAATTTATGATAGTGTAAATGGAAGGAAAATCCCATTAAATGTGTTAAAGAGTTCTGCTGTCTGTCACTCTGATCACATGGCGAACTGCCAAAAGAAAATCAATTGCTAACTACTGCCTTGACATTGCTGGAAACTTCCCTGCTTGGAAAACTTAAAGTAGTTTTACTGAAGGTCAGCAGTTTGAAAATGGTATTTAGATGTTCACACTACCACAACCAAGTCTATAAACACTTTTCTGAGGTCATTCTGAACCACCTCTGTGTAAAATTTCAAGCAAGCAAAGAATCAAAACGAGAATCCAATGAATTCTGTATTGTTGAAGACACAAAGTTATCATAGCAGTTTTACACTTCCTTGAGTGCAGACATTTGACTGACAATGATTGTCATTTTTTTCTGTTCAGCTCAGTAATTTATTGATTTTTACAAGGGGTTTGCTCAAATACTGGAACTATATTTGAGTACCCTTTTTGGTTTTGCGGAAAGACGTCTAAGTCTATGCCATTTCCCTGTAGCAAACTGGTACTTTTGACATATTTCACAGCCTGGGAYCTTTTTCACATATCCCACCCCAAGAATTCGATGATTGGACAAAACAGGATGTCCAGAAACAACCATATAAAGTGTCCATGGAGGGCAGAAGGTTCTAACCTGTTCCTCAGAGGAAATAGTATGATCTGCATCTTAAGCCACATAGATCACATGAGTTATCAGTATTTGTCCCAGGTAACTAATAGGGAGTGGACATCCTTAATGTGGAAGCAGAAGGATCTTATCCCCTCCGTAGCTCATTAGCGCTGCCTTGTGCTGCACACACTTCATCTCCAGGGACAGCCTCACTGTGGCTGTCGCGGCTGCCCTGACATCTGAGATCTGGCTGTGCAGCCTTGTCTCTAAAACAGACTGTGTGCTAACGTAAAAGGCAAAGCGTATATATCTTTAATGCAAGCCTACAAATGTAGGAAGCTCTTGTGTCTGACTGCATTACACCAGCTCCTCTCCTTCCTTCAGAGCGTTCAGCAGAATGTTATGTGTATTATGTGTTACCYCTCTCCAGGCACTGCTAGAGTAGAAGGAGCCATTTGAAAGGTGATTCAGGAGGTTGGGCTATAGCTCGTTTAACTTCCCCCGGAGGTCATTTCACCTGAAATGACACTGGAAGCAGGTGAAATCTCCGCACGTGACTGTGCTTGAACCCATCTGGCTGCAGCTGAGTATTAGGCATGAATTTTGCTGCTCGCCTGGTACTTGAGAGGCTGTTTCCTAGTGTGCTGCAGCCTCGGCAGGGCTGCACGGCAGGCATCACCGTGCTGCGCTGTGCTGTCCAGCTAGCCCCATCTCCTGGCACGCAGCTGCTCTTCCTGTCCCCATGGCTCATCCTCAGAGCTGCCAGGGTCAGAGGGCTTCCCTCTCGTAAAGCAATAACATCTTGGCCACGCTTAGTAAAACATTGCATAACATTATGATCTGCAAGGTAACAACTTCTCAAAGTGCATGAAAGCAGCTGAAGTCCCTTCTTTACCCAGAGTTTTTGTGAGGCTAATTGCTGGCAGATTTAAATAGTTTGAACTGCAGGTAACAATTATGTGAAACTCTATATATATATATAAAAAAATGTTCTGTGAAAACAATGTGGTCTGCTTTTCTAGAGACTGTATCCCACACAAATCCTAGCCATGCTGTCTCCCTCATGCCCGCAGTACAAATACACAGTTCTCCTTACCCCAATTCCTTAGCCTCCCTGCTGCATAGCTTGTAAGCACCACGCTGGAAAAGAGACAGCATATGCTGTGTCTGGCTCCAAAATGTGCGTGCACTGAGGAGGCAGCTGGTAGACAAAACTGAGCAAGGAGCTGTTGAAGGCTTTCCTCTGTTGCCACTTTGACTTGAAGCTTCTCTACCAAGACACCAGTTGTCGTGAAACGTAATTACTTCTCTCCTGCTGTCAGATATCATTGCACTTTGACAAAGGATTCAAATGCTACTGGGGAAAGAGGAGGTTTTGCAGGGAAAAGAGAAAAGGAAAAAGAAAAGAAAAGAAAAGAAAAGAAAAGAAAAGAAAAGAAAAGAAAAGAAAAGAAAAGAAAAGAAAAGAAAAGAAAAGAAAAGAAAAGAAAAG